CCACCACAACCACCATTATTAATCATAGCCACAATAACCATCACCATTACCAAAACCACTATGACAACCACTATCATCACAACCACCACTACCACCTTCATCACAACCACCACCATCACCACAACCACTATGACAACCACTATCATCACAACCACCACTACCACCATCAATATCCCAATCACCATCATCACAACCACCACAACCACCATCTTTACAAACCACAACTACCATCACAACCACCACTACCAATAACTAAAAAAACAGAAAAAACTGAACCACCCAAAACTCAATGTTGAAGGTCTATCTTGCATGTACCAACACGGACCTAACTGATCATCAAAACATGACCCCAAATACCCTTAACCAATCACTAAGAGGTCATTAAAATACCCCTATACCTTAGATATTGACCCAAGGAAGATGATAGTGCAGTTCCTTGACAATAGCTCTCAGTTTTCCTAAGTTGTGGATGGACAAAGCTCTTCCAAGATTTTTTTTTTGGGGGAAGGTGTTTTTTATTACATAAAACAGAGAGAAAGAAGGTGACACATCGATTTTCGACGTTCAGAGGCGGACCTCGAGCTTGTATATCACACCCCTCGCCTCTTCCTCCTCCATCCCTGGCCTGGCTTGGACTGGCTTGTTGGTCACTACCCCCTTTACTGGGCTGGCCACTTCCTCCCCTGAGCTGGCTGTATCACTTATCCTCCCTTGGCCTAGCCGTGTCACCTCCCCAGCTCTATATCCGAGCCGTGTCACCCCATATCCTGGCCGTGTCACCTCCCTGGTCTGGCCGTGTCACCCCTGAATCACCACCTGTGTAATAGGAGTGAGGCGTAAGGACGAAATTGATGATGAAAATTGGTCTATCATTCAGGAGAGTTAAAGAGGTCGCATGGTGTGTGGCTGTCAGCAGGTTATACTAGGGACAGCGGCTACAGCAACACTACAGGTACAGCAATAAGAACAGGGCAAGCTAACTACAGCTACAAGTACAGGGACAGGTTAACTACAGCTACAAGTACAGGGACAGGTTAACTACAGGTACAGCAATAAGAACAGGGGCAAGCTAACTACAGCTACAAGTACAGGGCAAGTTAACTACAGCTACAAGTACAGGGACAGGTTAACTACAGGTACAGCAATAAGAACAGGGCAAGCTAACTACAGCTACAAGTACAGGGCAAGTTAACTACAGCTACAAGTACAGGGACAGGTTAACTACAGCTACAAGTACAGGGACAGGTTAACTACAGGTACAGCAATAACTACAGAGACAGGTTAACTACAGCAACAGCAATAATTACAGAGACAGGTTAACTACAGCTACAAGGTACAGGGACAGGTTTACTACAGCCAAGTACAGGGACAGGTTAACTACAGGTACAGCAATAACTACAGAGACAGGTTAACTACAGCAACAGCAATAATTACAGAGACAGGTTAGCTACACTACAAGTACACAGACAGGTTAACTACAGCTACAGCATTAACTACAGCGACAGGTTAACTACAGATACAAGTACAGGGACAGGTTAACTACAGCTACAAGTACAGGGACAGGTTAACTACAGCTACAAGTACAGGGACAGGTTAACTACAGGTACAGCAATAACTACAGAGACAGGTTAACTACAGCAACAGCATAATTACAGAGACAGGTTAACTACAGCTACAGCATTAACTACAGCGACAGGTTAACTACAGCTACAAGTACAAGGACAGGTTAACTACACAAACAATAACTACAGGTACATCAATAACTAAGAGACGAGTTAACTACAGCTACAAGTACAGGGACAGGTTAACTACAGCTACAAGTACATGGACAGGTTAACTACAGCTACAAGTACAGGGACAGGTTAACTACAGCTACAAGTACAGCCACAGGTTAACTACAGCTACAACAATAACTACAGAGAAAAGTTAACTACAGCTACAACAATAACTACAGGGACAGGTTAATTAAGGACGGTAAAGGTATCATCAAATCTTCCCTCCGTCCCATAAGAGAGAGGAGGAGGAGAGAGAGAGAGAGAGAGAGAGAGAGAGAGAGAGAGAGAGAGAGAGAGAGAGAGAGAGAGAGAGAGAGAGAGAGAGAGAGAGAGAGAGAGAGAGAGAGAGAGAGAGAGAGAGGAGAGAGAGAGAGAGGTGCTAGGGAAGGGAGGGATGAGGAGGGGAGAGAAGGGGAGAGAAGGTGAGGGAAGGGTAGTGAGGGGAAGGGAGTTAGGGGTAGAAAGGAAAGGGTGGAGGAAGAGGAGGGGAGAAAGGGTAGGGAGGGGGAGAGACGAGGGGAAAAGGGGAGGGGTAAGTGTATTAGAAGGGTGATGTACACTACCCTTTACTGAAGAGAGTAGGTGTGTGTGTGTGTGTTCTCTCTTTTTATGTCTGTCTCCTTATATGCTCCACACACACACACACACACACACACACACACACACACACACACACACACACACACACACACACAGGTAACATTACAGGTTAATTAAAGAGTTACCTGGCCCCAGTAGCTTGCCACACAGCCTGGGAGAGCCGTAGTCAGGATGATCTGTACCATTCTCGAAGAACCAGTTCGTCTTGTTGTCCAGCCACCTGTAACGACCAATGCAGTAGTTATGTAACGCCTGTAACGACCAATACAGTAGTTATGTAACGCCTCTAACGACCACAGTAGTTATGTAACGCCTCTAAATAAAACAAAAGTCACATATGAATAACTCCTGTAACAGATACATAATTACACCTGTAAATAAAAAGAGTAATCGGACAATACCTGGAGTGAATCGGACAATACCTGGTGTGAATCTCCTCTATCACAGGGGTTCTCAACACGGGGAATTCAGGTTTTCAGGGGGAACTGATTCGGGAGCAAGAGATATGTTCAATGAGAAATCAATCACAGAATTTTGGCCCTTGATGTGCGATTCCTACCCAAAAGTGGCAGAAAGAGCTATCCGTGCATGCCCGTTTGTGTCGACATATCTGTGAGTCAGGCTTTTCAACTGTTGCAAATTAAAACGAAGCAACGTAGTAGATTAGAGGTAGAAATGCCCTGCGTTGTGCCCCTTTCAAGCACTCCTCCGCGTATCCCAGAATTGGCGAAGAAAAAACAATCACAGGTTTCTCATTGACTGTAATCTTCATCTGAATAAAATTAATTACAAATTTACAATATCCTGGTATTCTATTGAACTTTTGTTTATTGCATTATGCTTCAGTTTGGTCTGTTAAGTAATTCATTATAAATATAAAAAACTATTTTACTTTTATTCAAGTTTATAAATCCATCAACATTTTCAATGCATTTAATTTGTAAAACTCCACTATAAAAATAATCCATGAAAATTGTAAATGTATATGTACTAATATGGAAAAAATAAAGGATTTTCAGTATTATATGCATATTATTTGGAATGCACTTATTGAGGCAGACACCTTGAAAGGAGGAGGGAATGACATTCTGACATATGGTGAAAGGGTGCATGGGCAAACAAGGTTGAGAACCACTGCTTTATCACTTGTCACTTCACTATCTATCTACATTTAACCTCTTCCCTCTCTCCTCACTCTCTCTTCCTCACTCTTTCTCCCTCTTCCCTCACCTCTCTCATCCCCCTCTCTCTCCCTCTCTGTCCCTCTCTCTCTCCTCACCTCACACGACACCCTCTTACCTCCCTGTCGCCTCCACCCATTAAGATAACTCTACTTCCTCCCATTGTAAAACTCTTCTTTCCTCTCTTTTCTTTATCGCATTTGTTTAGTCTCTTCTCTCTCTCTTCTCTCTCTCTCTCTCTCCGCTATATCTAAGACACTCTCACTTCTCTGTACAGTGACATAGACAGACACAAAGACCATAGACTGACAGTACAGACAGACAGACAGACAGACAGACAGACAGACAGACAGACAGACAGACAGACAGACAGACAGACAGATAGATAGATAGATAGATAGATAGATAGATAGATAGATAGATAGATAGAGATAGATAGATAGATAGATAGATAGATAGATAGATAGATAGATAGATAGATAGATAGAAGATAGATAGATAGATAGAGAAAACACAACAATGCAACCAGCTGACTGTCAGCAACCAAGGGCCTGTCAGTACCAGGGCCTGTCAGCTACCAGGCCTGTCAGTACCAGGGCCCGTCACCAGGGCCTGTCAGCACCAGGGGCGTGTCAGTACCAGGGGCGTGTCAGTACCAGGGCCTGTCAGTATCAGGGCCCGTCAGTACCAGGGCCTCGACCGCCCGTCAGTACCAGGGGCCTGTCAGTACCAGGGGCCTGCCGGCACCAGGCCTGTCAGTACCAGCCTGTCAGCACCAGGGCCTGCAGTACCAGGGCCCTGTCAGCACCAGGGGCCTGTCAGCATCAGGGGCCTGTCAGTACCAGGGGCCTGTCAGTACCAGGGCCTGGCCAGCAGGGCCTGTCAGTACCAGGGCCTGTCAGCACCAGGGCCTCGTCAGTACCAGGGGCGTGTCAGTACCAGGGCGCCTGTCAGTACCAGGGGCCTGTCAGTACCAGGGCCTGTCAGTACCAGCCCGTCAGTACCAGGGCCCGTCAGCATCAGCCTGTCAGTACCAGGGCCTGTCAGTACCAGGGCCGTCAGCACCAGGGCCCGTCAGTACCAGGGCCTGTCAGTACCAGGGGCCTGTCAGCACCAGGGCCGTCAGCATCAGGGCCTGTCAGCACCAGGGCCTGTCAGTACCAGGGGCCTGTCAGCACCAGGGGCCTGTCAGCACCAGGGGCCTGTCAGTACCAGGGGCCTGTCAGTACCAGGGGCCTGCCAGTCACCAGGGCCTGTCAGCATCAGGGCCTGTCAGTACCAGGGGCCTGTCAGTACCAGGGGCCTGTCAGCACCAGGGGCCTGTCAGTACCAGGGGCCCTGTCAGCAAGGGCGGTCAGTACCAGGGCCTGTCAGCATCAGGCCTGTCATACCAGGGGCCTGTCAGTACCAGGGCCTGTCAGTACCAGGGCCTGTCAGTACCAGGGGCCTGTCAGTATCAGGGCCTGTCAGTACCAGGACTGTCAGTACCAGGCCTGTCACCAGGGCCCGTCAGCACCAGCCTGTCAGTATCAGCCCTCAGCACCAGGGCCTGTCAGTACCAGGCCTGTCAGCATCAGGGGCCTGTCAGTACCAGCTGACTGTCAGTACCAGCCTGTCAGTACCAGGGCCTGTCAGCACCAGGGCCTGTCAGTATCAGGGCCTGTCAGTACCAGGGCCTGCTGCCCAGGGCCTGTCAGAATCAGCCTGTACCAGCTGACTGTCCCGGCCCACCAGGGCCTGTCAGTACCAGGGGCCTGTCAGCATCAGGGCCTGGCCGGAAAGGGCCCGTCAGTACCAGGGCCTGTCAACAGGGCCCGTCAGTACCAGGGGCCTGTCACACCAGGGCCGTCAGTACCAGGGCCCGTCAGTACCAGGGGCCCTGTCAGTACCAGGGCCTGTCACCAGGGGCCCAGTCAGTACCAGGGCCTGTCGAGCACAGGGCCTGTCAGTACCGGGCCTGTCAGCACCAGGGCCTGGCACCAGGGCCTGTCAGCACCAGCCAGTACCAGGGGCCCGTCAGTACCAGGGGCCCTGTCAGCACCAGGGCCCGTCAGCACCAGGGCCCGTCAGTACCAGGGGCCTGTCAGCACCAGGGCCCGTCAGCATCAGGCCTGTCAGTATCAGGGGCCGTCAGTACCAGGCCTGTCAGTACCAGGCCTGTCAGTACCAGGGCCTGCCAGTACCAGGGGCCTGTCAGTACCAGGGGCCTGTCAGTACCAGGGGCCTGCCTGGGCACCAGGCCTGGGTTACCAGGGGCCTGTCAGTACCAGGGGCCTGTCAGTATCAGGCTGGGCACCAGGGGCCTGTCAGTACCAGCCCAGCATCAGGGGCCTGTCAATCAGGGCCTGTCAGCATCAGGGCCTGTCAGTACCAGGGTCTGTCAGTACCAGGGGCCTGTCAGTACCAGAGGCCCGTCATACCAGGGCCTGTCATACCAGGGGCCTGTCAGTACCAGGGCCTGTCAGTACCAGGGCCCGACAGCATCAGGGCCTGTCAGATCAGGGGCCTGTCATACCAGGGCCTGTCAGTACCAGGGGCCTGTCAGTACCAGGGCCTGTCATATCAGGGGCCTGTCAGTACCAGGGCCTGTCAGCCAGGGGCCTGTAGCACCAGGGACCTGTCAGTACCAGGGGCCTGTCAGTACCAGGGGCCTGTCAGCACAGGGGCCTGTCAGTACCAGGGCCTGTCAGTACCAGGGGCCTGTCAGCATCAGGGGCCTGCAGCGGTCAGGCCTGTCAGTACAGGGGCCTGTCAGTACCAGGGGCCTGTCAGTATCAGGGGTCTGGCTGCATCAGGGTCTGTCAGCATCAGGGCCCTAGTACCAGGGGCCTGTCGAAACAGGCCCGTCAGTACCAGGGCCTGTCAGTGCCCCAGGGCCTGGTCAGCCAGGCCCGTCAGCATCAGGGGTCTGTCAGTATCAGGGGCCTGTCAGTACAGGGCCCGTCAGCAGGGCCTGTGCAGACCAGGGGTCTGTCAGTATCAGGGCCTGTCAGTACCAGGGGCCCGTCAGTACCCAGGGGCCTGTCAGTACCAGGGGCGCGTCAGTACCCAGGGCCTGCACGTATCAGGGGCGTGTCAGCATCAGCCTGTCAGTATCAGGGGCCTGTCAGCACCCGCCTGTCAGTACCAGGGGCCTGTCAGTACCAGGGCCTCAGTACCAGGGGCCTTTCAGTACGAGGGCCTGTCAACCAGGGCCTGTCAGTACCAGGGCCTATCAGCACCCGGGGCCTTGTCAGTACCAGGGGTCTGTCAGTACCAGGGCCTGTCAGTATCAGGGCCTGTCAGTATCAGGAGCCTGTCAGCACCCGGGCCCTGTCAGTACCACAGGGTGGTGTAGTACCAGGGCCTGTCAGCCATGTCACACCAACCGACTGTCAACACCAACTGACTGTCAACACCAGCTGACTGTCAACACCAACTGACTGTCAACAGCAGCTGACTGTCAACACACAACTGACTGTCAACACCAGCTGACTGTCAACACCAACTGACTGTCTCAACACCAGCTGACTGTCAACAGCAGCTGACTGTCAACAGCAGCTGACTGTCAACAGCAGCTGACTGTCAACAGCAGCTGACTGTCAACAGCAGCTGACTGTCAACACCAGCTGACTGTCAACACCATCTGACTGTCAACACCAACCGACTGTCAACACCAACTAGACTGTTAACACCAACTGACTGTCAACACCAACTGACTGTTAACACCAACCGACTGTCAACACCAACTGACTGTTAACACCAACTGACTGTCAACACCAACTGACTGTTAACACCAGCTGACTGTCAACACCAGCTGGGTAGAAGGGTCACGTGTAGTTGAGGTAACTCTGTTTACAATTTACAGGCTTTTTACCTTGTCTGGGAACACTGTGTTAGGAAGGGCCCGACCAGCTGACTACAACACCAGCAACTAACACTACAAAAGGGAATAAACCAACAACCGCAACACTTTACTACTCAAACCCAACCTAACCTAACCTAACTTGGCCTAACCTAACCTAACCTAACCTAACCTAACCTAACCTGGCTTGTATGGGATTCTCAAAGTGACTTACGATTGCAACTGATGGCGGTGAGGAACGAGCTGAGTTAAGATGTTATTCCACACCACAAAAACAATAAACAATAACAACAATAACAACAACACCAACAAAAATAACAAAAACAACACCAACAAACATCAATAACAACAACCACCTCAACAACAACAACAACAACAAACACGTCAGCATGAACGAACACACAAGGAAAATCGCTAATATTGTCCACCTGTCACCTGGGAGTCACAGGTTGTTTATTAAATCCAGGAGAGTCATACACGCATCACACACATATAACACAACTTACAGACCCTCATTCACATACACCCTACCTCCCCCACACCACTTCCCCACACACCCACACACACCTCCGCCACACACACACACACACACACCCGTCACAAACACTAACCCCCACACCCCCACACACTTCTCCACACCCCCCACACACACCTAACCCTCACACACTATACCACACATACTTCCCCCACACACACACCCCCCCCACACACACCCCACACCCCCCCCCACACACACACACACTCCCCCACACACTCCCCCCACACACACTCACCCCCATCCCCCACACACACACCTCACCATCAAGAGAGTCAGTAACCCGTGGGCCACAGGCATATATAAACTGGTCAGTGAGGCCAAGCCACGGTGAGTCTTTCCATATTTCACCTCCCATATTACCTTCCTGTGTACCGGCTATTTTGGCTGTAAACACACACACATACACACACACACACACACACACACCTTGCCACACACACACACACACACACACACACACACACACACACACACACACACACACACACAGCACACACACACACAGATGAACGGAAATACGAACGAACAAACAAAGACGACGAATTAAGGATTGTATACCACCAATAAGTGGCGGGTACTCACCTAATGAGCTGATTGGTTGGTTCGAAGGAAAGGCAAAAGGACGATTATTATCAACCAATAAGCGCACGGGCAGAAATTCTAATGAGGCAATCCACCAATGAGCATACAGGAAAATAACCACTAATGAGCGCGCTTAATGATCCTCCTCGACCAATAAGCATTCACGTTGACGATTTTCGACCAATCAGAGTGTATTAAGACGACTCTCGACCAATGGAAGTGTGTTGAGTATTCTCGACCAATGAGCGTGTATTAAGACGACTCTCGACCAATGGGGGTGTATTAAGACGACTCTCGACCAATAGGAGGTATTAAGACGACTCTCGACCAATGAAGTGTATTAAGTCGATTCTCGACCAATGGAAGTGTGTTGTAGAGTATTCTCGACCAATGGAAGTGTGTTGTAAGTATTCTCGATCAATATGAAATGAATATAGACGACTCTCGACCAATGGAAGTGTTTTGTAGAGTATTCTCGGCCAATGAGAGTGTATTAGACGACTCTCGACCAGAGAATCAGTTAAGACGACTCTCGACCCAAAATGAATATTAAGACGACTCTCGACCAATGAGGTATTAGACGACTCTCGACCAATGAGAGTGTGTTGTAGAGTATTCTCGACCAATGAGAATGTATTAAGAAGATTCTCGACCAATGAGAGTGCATTAAGACTCTCGACCAATGAGAGTGTGTTGTAGAGTATTCTCGACCAATGAGAGTATTAAGAAGATTCTGACCAATGGAAGTGTATTAAGACGACTTCCGACCAATGAGAGGTATTAAGACGACTTCGACCAATGAGAGCGGCTGTTGATGACTTCGACTCAATGGGAGTACAGACGACTCTCGACCAACAGAGGTATAAGACGACTTTCGACCAAATGAGATGTATTAAGACGACTCTCGACCACTGGGAGGTATGACGACTCGACCAATGAGAGGTATTAAGACGATCTGACCAATGAGAGGCATTAAGACGACTTCAATTCAATGAGAGTGCATTAAGACTACCCGACCAATGGGAGGTATTAAGACGACTTCGACCAATGAGGAGGTATTAAGACGACTTCCGACCAATGAGTATTAAGACGACTCTCGACCAATGGGAGTAGACAAGACGACTCTCGACCAATGAGATAGTATTAAGACGACTCGACCAATGAGAGTGTGTTGTATGATTCTGACCAATGAGAGCAGTATTAAGTCACTCACATCAATGAGAGTGTATTAAGACGACTCTCGACTTTGGGAGAGTGTATTAAGACGACTCTCGACCAATGAGAGTGTATTAGGACGCACTCGACCAAGGAAGTGTGTTGTGAGTATTCTCGACCAATGAGGAGTGTGTTGTAGGAGTATTCTCGACCAATGAGAGTGTATTAAGACGATTCTCGACCAATGAGAGTGTATTAAGACGACTCTCGACCAATGAGAGTGTATTAAGACGACTCTCGACCAATGAGAGTGTATTAAGACGACTCTCGACCAATGGGAATGTACTAAGACGACTCTCGACCATTGGAAATGTAGTAAGACGACTCTCGACCAATGGGAGTGTGGTGGTGAATATCTTCGACCAATGGGAGTGCATTAAGGCGATTCTCGACCAATGGGAGTATATTAAGACGATTCTCGACCAATGGGAGAGTATTAAGACGACTCTCGACCAATGGGAGTGTGGTGGTGAATATCTTCGACCAATGGGAGTGCATTAAGGCGATTCTCGACCAATGGGAGTGTATTAAGACGATTCTCAACCAATGGGGAGTGTGATGGGGATTATTCTTAAGTACAGTACAGGACTTCAGAATTACTACAGTAACAACCACCACTACCACCACCACAACCACCACAACAACCACCACCACCAAACAACCATTACCACCACAACCACTACCACCACCACAACCACCACCACCACAACCATTACCACCACAACCATTACCACCACAACCACCACTTCTCTATCAAATCAGGTCAAAATACCACAATCCGTTTTCTTCAGAGGTTTATAACAGTCCTCCCTGGTATAGAAAACGGAGACTTAGCGACTTGCTCCACGTCTTACAGTAGTCTCCACTCAGGTTACGGTAGTCCTCACGGTAGTTACCACGAAGACTAGAAACAAAGAGTCCTTGGGGTCTATATCAGTCCCCATCCCCCATTAAAGCTATTGTAGTCCCCAGTGACGTTACAATAGTCCTTAATAACGATATTTAAAGTCCCCAATCAGATAACAGTCCTCAGAAGGCTACTACAAAATAGACCTTAATTACAATCTACAGCAGTCCCCCGATCTCTCCTTCAGTTTACAATAGCCCCCTCACCCCAAAAAAATTACAATAGCCCCACATCCTCCCAGTCTACAATAGTCCCCCGCTCCCCTCAGTCTACAATAGCCCCACATCCTCCCCAATCTACAATAGCCCCCTCAGTCTACAATAGTCCCCCTCAGTCTACAGTAGCCCCCGCTCCCCAATCCACAATAACCTCCCGCTCCCCCAGTCTACAATAGCCCCCCGTTCACCCGTCTAAAATAGCCTCCGCCCCAGTCTACAATAGCCCCCCCCCGTTCACCCGTCTAAAATAGCCCCCTGGCCCCAATCTCACCAGTCCCCCACCAGTCTAAGGCCAGCTCCCTGCTCACCTGTCTAAAATAGCCCCTGCCCCAATCTACACAGTCCTCCAGTCTACACAGCCCCTGCTCACTCCGTCTAAAGCAGCCCCCCTGCCCCACCCACAGCTAGTCCCTCTAGTTCAAGCAATAGCCCTCCTGACACAATATTTTAGCCCCCAAGCCTGTTTTCTACACCGCTGTCACCTTACTGAAAGCCCCCCAAAATTAACCCATTTATTTGGTTTCTTACTGAATACAGACCCTTGCTGTAACACTGTACCTTGGTGAGTAGTAGTAGTACAGGAGTAGCAGTAGTAGTTGTAGTACAGTAGTAGTTGAGATAAATGTATAGTATATATCAGGTGCCTCAAAGAGAGCTCAGGTTCTCAACTGGCTCAGCCATGTTAATATTGTTATTATTATCCACTCTGTATCTGTATTTTTCTGGCACAATAAACTGTTACAATTCAATTCTGTTACAATTCAATCTACAGTGTTATTGGAGGGGACATATTGGGAGTGTGGGAGCGGGAATTTCACAGTGTATCGGTGAATATCGGATGTCACCCTAGGCATTGTCACCGAAGGTTCTTCTCATCCCTTACGGCATTAATCACAAATATTCCGTGTGCTCACCGGCGATCACCAAGTGAGTTTGTAAGTATTTGATTGGACGGCTACTGCAGGTGCCAGTGCCAGTGTCGATAGTCCTACTTTGGCAGGGGTGGCATCGAGACTCTCGCCCTTATGCGGCCAAGTGCTCTACACTTACGGTCGCCCCTCCCCCCCTTCAAGTAACGGTCACTTCATGTAGTGTTGGCCGACCAAGTGAGTATATATAGCTAATATTACATCAGTGCGACCATAGAAATAGTGGTTATTTCTGCCAAGGCTAAATAAACAAGTGTTAGGTGTGACAATTCTTGCTCCCAGTGTATCATTCTGACGTGTGGATTGTCGCCCACAGGGGGGTGGCCTACACACCCACGCGCGCACGTATGCCCCTACTACCCGGACACGGCAGTACAGCCGGTCACCTCTCTGCCCTTTACTCATAAGAACTAGTTTCTTCTTCTGTATGGGACCAAAGCAGATGTCGGAGGCGGACGTAACTGTCGCCCAAGGTGCGGAACACTATGCCGGGTAACAGACATTGCTGGGTCTGTGCTAGCCAGTACCAAAATTGCACTAGCTGTGAATGTGCGAGAAACAACCGACCATGTGTGGTTTGCAGAAAGGGAAAAAATTGTCGGAACCCACAAGGCAGAGAGCCGACACAGGAGGCCACAGTGGATATCGCCGGGACCCAACCGCCCGATGATATCCTAAATGATAGCAGTGAGTCTACTCAACCTGAAAATGTAGTACTAATAAACGCTGCTCCAATAGTAGCAGATGTCCACGAGGTGAATGAGAGACAGCCACCAGAGTGGAATGGCATGTCGATGGAAAATGCTGACATATGGGTTAAAGAAACTTACTCAGAAATTGTCAGGTGGTCGCCAACTAACCTGTTTGAACCACCCAAGTGTGCGGCCACCAAAGAAATGATTCGGGAGATGATTCACCTCATGACTGAGTACACTCAGGACTGTTTCCTTGCCCCTTCAGCTCTTCAAATACTGGCAATAATACCACATCTATTCTGTCAGAGGACACACACAAAGACTAAGCACAAAGAAAATGCGGAAGCAATGAAGAGAAGATTGACAATGTGGCAGAATGGGGCCCTTGATGATCTCCTATGTGAAGCAAGAACACTGCAGGAGAGACTAAAATTTATAGGAGACGGAAAGCAAAACACCGATGACGTTGCAAGAAAGTTTGAAAACAAAATGCGTGTGGGAAAAGTGTCTTTGGCGGTAAGATCTCTCACAGAGGAATCCTCCAGTGGAGTTCTGCCAATAGACAGAGAGACATTAAAACAACTGAAAGAAAAATATCCCCCTGCAAGTGAAGACGAAGGCATCAGGTTCCAGGGTGCCGATATCCCACCAAATACTGTACTGTTCAAGAAAATAACAGGAGGGATGGTGTGGAAAAAGGCACTGAAGACTCAGGGAGATGCCGGCCCTTCAGGTCTGGATGCAAACGGTTGGAGAGTCATCCTCAGCACTAACAAGTTTGGCCCCGTAGCAAGTGATCTCTGCACTGCCATTGCCGTCCTTGCAAGAAAGCTGGCATCCTCGTGCAGCCAACACCTCCATGCTCTGACGGCCTGCCGCCCCATTCCCCTGGATAAGAATCCAGGACGTAGGCCTATAGGGGTGGGGGAAGTGCTGAGGCAGATCATCGGAAAGTGCATAATGGAGGTGGTAAAGGATGATGTCAGGGCAGCAGCAGGGAACCTGCAAGTTTGTGCTGGCCACCAGGCTGGAGGGGAAGCTGCCATTCACGCCATGAGAACGATATTTGAGCAGCGTGATTGTGAGGCCGTTCTCCTGGTGGACGCTTCAAACGCATTCAACATAACCGCAAGGCCGCACTGCACAACATCAAGATCAAGTGTCCAAGCTTTGCAATGTAAGTTGAAAACTCCTATAGGAATCCATCAGACCTTTATATAGTAAACAACAAGGCTCTAAGAGGTGATACCATCATACAGCAGGAAAAGTGGAGGACATCAAAAAGTGGTGGGACCTGGTAACAAATAGGGTACCGCCCAAACGCCAGCAAGTCCTTCCTCATTGTGAAGCCAGAACATCATGAACGGGCAATGGAGGTGTTCGGTGGAAGTGAGGTCAAAATAACAAAGGATGGCCAAAGACACCAAGGCGCAGTAATCGGCACGACGGACTTCAAGACCGAGTACGTAACGGGAAAGGTGAATGAGTGGGTTAGGAAAATCCAAGCTCTGTCTGAGATTGCTAACACAGAGCCACATGCGGCTTTTGCGGCATTCACCTATGGAGTCAAACATCGCTGGAACTACCTG